CAAGTCGTTGTTGTACGTAAAGCGGCTGTAAATTTTTTTTACCATATATATATATATATATATACGTTCATTTTTTGTAGTAAATGTAGATAAGTTATCTACGTTGAGCCCAAAATTACGTCATTTTGGGACGAAAATCAATTTGTTTCTGTATATATATAGGGTTCGTTTTTTCTGCAGTTACTGCAGATAAGTTATCTGCAGTAAGCCCAATACGACGTCGTTTTGGGCGGAAATCATGGTGTTTTTGTAATTTTAATTTATTCAGGGTTATAATAGTCTTTATATTTATACTTTTTTAAGATTTCAATACCAAAACGATGTTATTTTGGGAATAAATGCAGATAACTTATCTGCATTAACTGCAGAAATATTTTTCTCATATATATATATATATATATATAGATGATAAAATTATGACTTTAATATTTTTACAATGAATCTAGATAAGTTATCTACATTTACTCTCAAAACGACATCGTTTTGGGTTGAAAAATTAAAAATTATAATAAGAAAGACTATTATGACCCTGAAATAAATTATAATTAAAAAAATACCTTGATTTTCGTCCCAAAAATGACGTCATTTTGGACTCAATGTAGATAACTTATCTACATTGACTGCAGAAAAAGCGAAGCCTAAAATTATTTCTGCAGCTGCTGTACGTATAGCAATTAAATTTAAACCGTTGATTGATTATGATTACCCACATTTAATGCGATTACCCACCACTGTATGGTTTTGATTTTCCAAATTTAATTGTTGCACATTTAGTAACTGCAAAAACATGAAAGCCTATATATATATGGGCTTATCGTTTATCAAGCTACTTGAGATAATTTTATCTCCGGCTACTAAATCATAACCGTACAAAGATGGATCAATGGTGATAAAGGAAGAGAGAAAAAAAGGGAATCATAACCACTCAAAGGTGAATCAATTAATATAAGGAAATAAATAAATAAAACGACGTAGTTTTGGGGTAGCCGGAGATAAACTTATCTCAAGCTGCTTGATAAATGATTTTCCCTATATATATACATATATATATATATATATAGAGGGAGGTAGGATCTAACGTCTCTCAGATGAGGTGTCAAACTTCAAATTTGACACCAGTGTCAAAAGATCTGGTTTCGTTGTTTTGATTCGCAGTGGTTACCACCCACAGGATGCAAGTGAGTTGTTCAATCAACAGCATATTATGGGTTCACGGAAAACAGTACCTAAAAAAAATGAAAAATTATTACAAATCAAAATTTGAACAGACAAGGAAATCGAATCTCGAAAAATTGAACCCTAGCTCACTTGCAAAACGAATATAGGAAATCGTGAATAATGAGCAGATCAATTATTTCGATTTTTTGATCAGATCAAAATTATGGGTTCACCTGTGTTTGTAATGGGTATGGAGGAGCAGACATCAATATAGGAAATCGTGCCTTCAGAGCCTCAAAAGTTCGATCAATGACATTATGCCTTTGATGAATCTCAATCAAATATTAATGGGACTTACAAAAAATCGAATCTGGTAAAAATCGAACCCTAGCTCGTGTATTAGGCGAAGCTCTCCGCGGGATGCAGCGGCGGCGGCACGACGGAGGCCGGCGCCGCCTTCGAGACAGAGGATATGGGCAGCGGCGGCGGTGGCAGTGTATAGTGAGAGAGAGAAGGGAACAAAGAGAGAAGGGGGAGAGAGAAACAAATATAGAGGGGCTATTTAAGAGACCAATGAAGACCGTTGGATCGCTACTACCAATCTAACAGTGAGATGATTGGTCGTAACATTGGTCGTAACTTTATTTGGTTGTCACAATATCCTGTCCCTATATATATATATGAGAAAAATATTTCTCAAGCAGCTTGATATATATTTATCTTCGGCCACCCTAAAACTACGTCGTTTTGTTGATTTAATTCCTTATATTAATTGATTCACCTTTGAATGTTTATAATTCTCTTTTTCTCTCTCTTCCTTTATCATCATTGATCCATCTTTGTACGGTTATGATTTAGTAGCCGGAGATAAAATTATCTCAAGCAGCTTAAGAAATGATAAGCCCTATATATATATATATATATATATATATATATATATATATATATAAAGAAGGTTATATTGACAACTTATTTTCATTTACAACATCTTACAACCATATTTTAACCGTTGATTGACGATAAATGATAATCGTTGATTGATGGACGGTTAATATATGGTTGCAAAAGGTTGTAAACGAAAATAAATTGTAAGTATAACCTTTATATATAGGGGGATAAGATCCGTTTACAAACTTTTTTTGCAAATTACACTAAGTACGACCGGTCGTACTTAGTGTAATTAAAGTATGACCGGTCGTACTTAGTGTAGTTTGTAAGAGTTTGTAAACAAAAAAGTTTGTAAATATAACATGGCCCTTATATATATATATATATATATATATATATATATATATATATATATATATATATTTACGCAAAAATATTTCTACAGCAACTTTAGATAAGCTTATCTACAGCTGCCATTTTTAACTATATTCTCCCGGGAGAATATAGTTATAACGTTAAAGTTGCTCTTTTTTCTCTCTCTTCAATTACTTTTCAGAACTTTTTTGCTGACGTGGAGAGAGAGAAAAGAGCAACTTTAACGTTATAACTATATTCTCCCGAGAGAATATAGTTAAAAATGGCAGTTGTAGATAAGCTTATCTAAAGTTGCTGTAGAAATGTTTACCCCATATATATATATATATATATATATATATATATATATAAGTACAGAATTTCTACCGTCAATAGAGATAAGTTATCTCCGGTGAGCTAAAATGACGTCGTTTTAGGCCGAAAATCAATGTATTTTTTAATTCTAATATATTACAGGGTTATATTAGTCTTTATCATTATAATTTTTTAATCTTATAACCTTAAAATGACGTTGTTTTGAGCTAACTAGAGATAATTTTATCTCTAGCGACTGAAAAAATATTTTTTCCTATATATATATATATATAAGGTAGGATTATTTGACACCAGTGTCAAATTTTAAATATGACACCTTACCTGAGAGCCATTAGATCAAAAAAGATCAACAACTCTGATTTGTAAGCATGTGATACTATTGATCTTTTTTAATCTAATGGCTCTCAGATGAGGTGTCAAATTTAAATTTGACTCCGAAGTCAAAGGATCATATATATATATATATATATATATATATATATATATATATAAACAAAATAATTTGTAATGTGATTATATATAAATATTGATACAATCACCTAAAAGTTACGTCATTTTGGGTTGATATAAAAAAATTTCGCTCAAAATTAATTATAAAAAATAATTATATCATATTTGTTTTCACTTTTTGTCATACTTACATTGTACATATACATACTTCAATTGTTATTTAACAAATTTTAAAATGCCATTTTTAAATAATCTTCTATTTTGAAATAAAATAAAACTGATAGCAAGTGGTGTGCATGACAACCATTCTATTCCCTAGCACTGTTTCTGAAAAGAAACAATTTTTTTCTATTTCTGTTTCTTGGAACAGTTTCTGAGAAAAAAAATGTGCTTGATAATATATTCAATTTTTATTCCGAGAATGAGAATTGCGTTTGATAACACAACAAATAATATAACAAAAAATAATTCCTACTAAATATAAAAAAAAAATTGGATCATCACTTTCCTCTCCATAAGGTGTGGTTGTGGTGGTGGCAGAGGCGGAGGGTGGCATGGTGGTGGCAGCGGCGGCGCTACGACGGCGGTGGTGGCAGTGACGTGGTGATGATAGTGGTGCTGGTTGTGATGACAGTGGCTGCGACGATGGCGGTGGTAGTGGGGGGACGGTGGTGGTGGAGATGACGGCAGTTGCTGCGACAATGGTGGTGGGGATGGCGGTTGGTGGTATTGGTGGCGGCGACAATGGTAGCGGTGGCATGGTGGTGGTGGCAGTGGTAGTGGCTGCGGCGGTGGAGGTGGTGGTGGTGGTGATGGTGGCGGTGATGGTAGTGACGGGGTGGTGTAACGGTGACGATGGTGGTGGTGACAGTAGTGGCTGTGACGATGGTGGTGGTGGTTGTTGGCGGCGACGGCGGTGACGTCGGTGGTGGCTGCAGCAATGATAGTGGTGGTTGGTGACAATGGTGGTGATGGTAGCGGTGGCGTTGTGGTGGTGGTAGTGGTAGTGGAGGTGAAAGTAGTGGCTGTGACAATGGTGGTTGGGGACATTGGTGGCGACGACAATGGTAGCGGTGGCATGGTGGTGGTGGTTATGATGGCATCGTATAGATGGTGGTGGTGGTGGTGGTGGCAGTGGCTGTGGCGGTGGTGGTGGTGGTGGTTCAGTGGTGGTGGTGTTGGTGGTAGTGGCGGGGGTGGTGTAATGGTGCCTATGGTGGTGGTGGTTGGTGGTAGCGGCGATGGTGGTGGTGGCAGTGGCGTGGTGATGGCGATGGTGGTAGTGGCTGCAGTGGTTGCGATGATGGTAGTGGTGGTTGATGGCGGTAGTGGTGATGGTGGTGGTGTGGTTGCAGCGGTGGTAGTTGTGGTGGTGGTGATGGTGGCATGGTGGTAGTGATGGGTGGAGGTGGTGGTGATGGTGGCGGTGGCATCGTGGTGTTGGGGGTGGTCACGACAGCACTAGTGGTACGATGGCGGCGGCGACGATGGTGGCAGTGGTCGTGTTGGGATGATGGTGGTGGTGGTGATGATGGTAGAGATGAAAAGTAATTAAGAGATATAAATGTTTCTCATTTTGTGCCCGGGAACAAAAAAGCAGAAATTTTCTGATTTTTTTTTCTGTTCCCCAGCACAAAAATTAATCTGGTTGTTCATGGAACAAAAAAATAAATCAGTTTTACCAAACGAGTTTCCTATCCATTTCTGTTCCCAAGAACAGAAATTAAAAAAGAATTGATTCCGGAAAAGTTGTCGTGCGCACCCTAATAATCGTGATTCGTGAACCCGTAGTCATATCACACAAGCCACCATAGCAATACCATTAATCCGGAACTCTGAAGTCCATGTTCGACGAAGTCAAAATCATCAACACCAAGTCTCAAACTTTTGAAACAATAAGCAGAAACAAACTAGTGGGTAGTTTTCTACCTTCACCAAAACCATAAGGGCTACTTTCAACACATGCTTCCCTCCCAAATCCTTCTTCACCTTTCTCCCCCTTTCACTTTAATTTTTTCATGTGTTGCATCCATTCCATATTGCAACGACAAAAGGGGTTTATTCCTACACAAGTAAATTCAATTCTAATTCTACCAGAACATAAAAGTCCCATTTTTTTATTTTTTATTTTTTTGAGTCTCAACAAGCTCTTGAATCTAGAGTAATAGCATGCCTCCTATGTCAACGATTCCAATTCACAGACCTGAATTCCATGCCTTATTCTTCAATGGGTCTCCAAGTCCTTTCAAATTCCCAAGAATGGCTGCTTCATGGACCATGTGAGTTTCAATTTTTCTCTCGTTTTTTACCTTCGTTTTTTTGAACCGTTTATCTGCTTGAATATAATTCTTAGCTTGCTTCTGTTCTATATTTAACATTAACAGGACCATGGATTCGAGATTTTCCCCCACAATGAATACTAATAACAATATGAAGAAGAAGGAAGAACTCTCTGTGCAGCTTTCAACGCCACCCGTTCCAAAAGTGGAAACTTTTAGCTCCAACAACCTCCAATTTGACCGTTTGCAGCCATCGGATCAAGAATTGGTTCGAGAAAATAAGTTTGATTTTGGGCAATTTGTTGCACGAGAAGCCGTGCTTGATGAAGAGTATTGGGTATGTCATAAATTCTTGGATAATATATATATATATATATATATATATATATATATATTTATATATATATATTTGTATGTGTGTATTCGGGAGTGGATCAATTAATATGACCATGTCATGCGGGAGAATCATAATTCTATAAAGATAAATCAATAGTGATAAGAAAAGATACTCTGACATAGGTTTTTATAAAATTTTTGGCATAGATTTACCCTTGCATGGTTAGGATTTCCTCACATGACATAATCATGTTAACTAACATATGAGACGATACACTGTCGTGTGTATACCTCTTTTTCTTATATTTATTTATTTGTTTTAAATTTTGGGGTAGACAGCAGCATGGCTAAGGGCAGAAAGTCACTGGGAGAATCGAACATATGAAAGGTATGACACACAGAACACATCAGAAAGGTCAAATGTTCTTTCATAAACTTCTTTTGAATGAGATAAATTAGGATTTTGAAGAATGAATGCGAAACAATTTGTTGCTTTCATTATGGTTCAGTTTTTACTTTCTATAAGTATGGTGTATTGTGTAAACATGCATAGAACTGATTGTGCACTTGAATTAAGAGCAGACCATAAACCAGATCAAGATGGATAATGTCAAACATTGATTTAATTAACAGTAGATTACAGGAAGAAATCTGAATGACCCTGCAGGTGGTGGGTCTAATTCATTTGCATTGATTTAAGTAGATGAAAATTTGAGTGCAACTGATTCTCATTATGTTTTATCCAGATATGTTGATAACTACAAAAGGAAATTTGCTGAGCAGGTATAGAAGTTGATATTAATTACTTTGCTCAGTGTGTGTACTTTTTATAAATTGGAGTGTCTTTCGTAGAAATCTTAGCAAGAATTTCTATTGCTTAGGAATTTAATGCGGTAAAAAGGCGGTGCAAGGTGCAAAACGGGGATAGCTGCTCATGCATTATCGCGGTAAATCAATCTAATTTCATCTTAGGTTCTGATTTAGTTGAGAATTTCAGGTTGTAATATATACTTTAAAGCTCTAATGTAGTTGAGCTACAGTTTCATAGTTGATTGTCCTTGAGTATGTTTCACCTTATGGTGTTTGAAGTCAAGTTTATCAGGTGAGAAAGGAGCAGAAGAATGTAAAGCACTCAATATTAAAAAGTGTTGTAGGAACCCTTGATTTGAATATCCGATATTTTCTGCAAGGGGAGACCTTTCCTGGGGTATTGCACATTCTTTCTCATTGATGCAAATGCTTCTGTTGCTTTGTCTAGAGACAACTGAATGGTTTTGATGCTTTTTGCAACTTAAATCATTTCTGCAGGAACGGGTAAAGGCTCCTCTTTTTTGCAACATCAAAAGAACACCACCAAGCAGATATGCCTACATTGCAAACTTGTGCGTTGCTAAATCAGCTCGACGACAGGGAATTGCAAGCAACATGATATATTTTGCTGTTGAAACTGCAAAATCGAATGGTAATATGAACATAGAAGTGAGAGTAACTTTTGTAATTTATGTATGAATTTAAGACTAAAAGTTTACCATATATTCCTGGATTCATTTAGCAGGTGTGACACAGATATATGTGCATGTGGATAGAAATAATAGTCCTGCACAGATATTGTACCAAAAGATGGGCTTCGAGGTATATAATTGTTAGTTCATCTCTCTTTACCATTTTCTCTAATGGATCATTACTACTTGTCAATTGCAATAATTGTGGCAGCTTCCTCGTCTTTTTCAGATGGTTGAAACGGCAAACTCCCGATTGTTACTAGAGGAAACATACTTGCTACGTTTACAGATGTAAAATACCAAAGATTATTACTTATGCTTCAATTGGATAGCTTCGGAAATGTTGTGATTTTCAAAATTTAAATACCCCCGGTTCCTTTAATCATTAGGGGTATAACCTTTTAGTTGTGTGTCCATGTTGTACCAAAGGTACTTAGTTTCCTTTTTCTCCCCTTTCCTTTTTAATGTATAGATCGTTCTTTTTGCAGTTTTTATAAGTGGCCTGTAAACTTACGGCAATTAAATTTGACGGAAAATAAACTTATTGGATTTAAGAAAGATTGATGAAACTGAACAACAATATCTCTATTATTCTTTTATTGTAGTGTTGGATTTATTTTTGTGCTTAAATGATCATATTCCTTGATTCTATTGTTTTCCATGTATTTACTTTCTGTAGATCTCCCAAAGCATATTTCTTATTATGCATCCCAAAATCACAATATTGGAGTTTTCACTGACTGACATAATTTTTTTTAAAAGAAATAAAAATGAAATGAGAAACACTGCAAGACAAAAAGCAGTCTGCATCCTATTTTACTAAGGGGAAAAAAATTTCATGTTGCATGAAATAATTTATTTCATGCAACACACAAAAAAGTAAATAGAATTCATTTTTTTCTTTTTTTCTTTTTTCTTTAGTGGATGTTATTTGTTATCCACTTTTGTGTGTTGTATGAGACATACAACATCAGAAAAGCATTTTTCTTAACATTTCCCTTTTACTAAACCGGGGTTCAAAATGGAGCTAATGCTGCTCTTTGTATTGCTATGCTAAATTAATTATGTAATGGCTTAGTCGTGTTGTCAGTGTAACCCTGTCGAGTTTGTAATTTGCATATCCAAATGTCATGGGAAAACAACAGAATAACAAGTCTATAAAGCCAAGATACTCTTCAGAAAGTACGTACTTCAAAATAAACAGGAAATAGCTTCTCTGGGAGTTTCCAGAATATTCATGGACACTTAGTATTTTTACAAAAGTAATTTTAAGATGAATTTTATCTTAGGTTGGAAAGTTTTTGAATACTAAGAAAATATAATTACTAAAAAAAATGATTGGAAAGTAAGTTTAGTAAGAAAATGTAAAAAAAGTTGTTTGGTTAGAAAAAAATTTACTGAAAAAATTAGGTAAATTTTATAAAGTCATGTTTGGTTTGAGGTAAAATATTGATGGGAAAATAAGTTGCAATTACCAAAATAACTTTTTTTTTAAAATTTTTGAATCACCAATGCTACCCTTTACCTTTACCCATAAATAGCCTTATGATTGCGGGTCGGACATTTTCACTTTCACGCTCTAGCGAGGGTATGTCCTTCAGCTAATTATTGCCCCATGTCTCCATTTAGCTAATTTAGCTAGACAACGGACAATACCACATCCGAAGTGAAAATATGGAGCTGTCTATTTTAGTGCAATTGACATGTAAAATGGTATGCTGGAGTAATAATTTCGATAGACAAATATTGAAATCTGCTCAACCAAACATTATCAAAATAAAATCTCACTTCTCTAATGCCTATCTATCTCATCAGATTGCTCGTACCAAACACAACCTAAGAAAAAAGAAAGTTAAGCTGAGTAAGGGACGGAATGTAAGAACCAGAATCGTCGTGTCAATCATGATCATTCTATTGGTCAAAATCTGGGAAATTGTAACGTATTTTGAGTAACTAGTTGAGCATGCATGAAAATCTGAAAAATTATGTACAATTTACCGGAAATTTGATTAAATGATCAATTTAATTGCCACAACCTCAGTAAATTAGAACTCGAGGCAGGAAGATAAAACTTTCACCATGAGTCAAATATTGGAAATTATAAATATAACATACTTTTAGCAAAATCCTTTATGTAATTTGACGCTCGGCACACAATGAATAGGAAAATAGTCGGGTACAATACATTAGTTCGTAAGTTTGGCTTAGATTCTTGCAAAAGGAAAAATGTACTCTTGATCAGTCGATTGACAAACATAAATATACATGACAAAACGGGCAACTCTAAGATGTCAAAAGTCAAAACCTCTTCGATTTGAGGCAATGATAGCAAAAAGGTATAGTCGTCCGGTTCTACTAGAAATATCTTAGACATAGTTATGCCAAATACCAGTATCTGTATATTTCATTTCCGATTCTAATTTATACCAAATCTCCATAGACTGATGAATAATTTAAAGCACCTTGAAGAGGATTCGGCACTTTGACATGTTGCAACACTGGAGACATTTTCAAACCAATTATCTGGATCTGCAGGTTTGAGTGGCCTTTAAGAAAAACATCTGTTACCTGCAAAAATATGTAACATCTCTTTATATAGGCTTGGTGAATCATATCATTGCACTATTATTTTATACAACTACAACAAAATGAACACAAACATATAAATGAACTATATACTTATATATGACCCCAATAAATTGGTCAGAAATGTTTTTGAGGTGAGGTTTAATGAATACCTGGGTGCATCCAAAAAGTTTAAGTAGCCTCAGCGACATGCAGCTATCCACAATCAAACCCAAGGCATTGTCAGTCAAATTTCGGCACCAAGACAGATCTAGAGAATGCAATTTTTTTGCATGGCTGGCAAGTGATAAGGTTGTGTGGTAACCAACCTGGTTTAAATCAAATGTGGCAATCAGAAAGTGAAAAAAAACAATTAAGAAATAGCAGGCTGCAACTAAACCGATAATTGGAACTAAAAGGCAGAAATATAAGTCTCAATTAGCTAGAACTCTATTAAAGGCTTCCTCCAACAGGTAGGCAGGGCTTTGTGCAATGTAATTCAACAACAAAGCCAGACAAAGAATATAATATCACCTTGACTTTTGACATGCACTTACAGACAAGAGAGTAGAGGAGGAGTTTTGACCAACAAAAAATAGAAAGGATGTTTCGATGACACTTCAAGGAGTCTAAGCTCGAAATACAGTAGTTAATCCTTTTACAAGCATGGAGCAACTCTTCCAGCATATCAAAATGTTCCAGGACCCATGTGTTAAGTGTGTTTATATAATGACATGTGCATCTATGCCCACTGCAAGCCAAAGGAGAGAAAAAGTTGGAGGCAAATAAACAGTGTACCTTCTTAATGTTATTAAGTGACAGTTCTTTCAAGGACTCTCCCGTGGTCTCCACAAATGCAGCAATTGCTTCATCACTGCAATGATGAAAAAGTTAGGTCAATTTATTTATCTGTTGGCATATATCAAGATTAAATGCAGTAAGCACCATTCAAGGAAACATCAAGTAGGGAATGAGTCAATTAGAGAGTGAATGGATCCTGAGTTTTTCATATGACGGGCTAATGTATATAGATAGACACAAACCCTAAACAGGCCCTACCAGCAAAATTGTTTAGGGCCTCTGTGTCTATCTCTTCTCATTACCTTGTCATGTGAAAAACTCACATGAGAGCATCCATTTATCGATTGGATGCATATGGAAAGAAGAATCAATATTTTTGACCTCTGGAAAATCAAAAAACAGTGATTTAGAAAACAGTACATGGGAACAATTAAGATAATCATCCTATTATAAAGTTAGGAACTACAATGAGTCACCCCTTGCGAAGTGCAGACTGATCACAGACAAGAACAGGAAAGTGCACGATAAAAAGTGAGGGTATCATAAAAAGTGTCTAAAGGTAAGAAAATAAACAAAAAAGATAAGAATTGTAAAGCAAATACAATATATAAAGGTATACCAAAACACATCAGAAAAAACAGAGAACAGAAAGAACAAACACCTGAGTGGATTACGGCATAGCTTCAGTGTATGAAGTGTACGACAACCATTTGTAAGATACCCAATGGATAAATCCGTTAATTTACACAAGTTCATAAGATCAAGCACACACAATCCAGGACAGTGTTCAGCAATGACTTTGATTGATGCATCAGTCAAGTTTCTGCACATTGAGAAATATAAATCAACTAGCTTAAATGATGAGTAACTTTTAACAATGAAAGAAAATATGTAAATTACAATTTAAAAAAAAGTACAATATCAAAAGTATTGGCCAAATCACAAATAATGGTTAATACAGGTTCAACGAATGATCAATAGTTAACCAATCACTAATTGGATTAACCATAAATCCCAAGTTAGGTTAATTTTTTCACTGATTTGAAATTTGTTAACCAAACTATCTAAAATGGAATTCTCCAAAAAAAAAAATGGGCATCTTAAGGAGATTCCATACATGAAACAGAGTGCCAAAATGGTACTTACATACAGTCCTTCAAAACAAGCTCTTTCAAGTTGTGACCGCATGCAATGATGTAATCCTTGACAAATTCATCACAAACAGTTTGAATACCAGCCACGGACAAAACTTCTAAATGTTCAAGCTCCCTCAGTGCCGGCACAATTAGTGCAGCATCAATGGCTTGGCAATTATCAAGGTACAACTCTTTCAGAAGAGATCTTAACGATTCAGCCAAAATATAAAGACTAGCAGACGTAAGAAGGGAGCACAGGCTGAGATTTATTGATCTAAGTGCTGGAGCAGAAGAAACAATAGCACGCAACCCCCCATCTGAAAGACGGCATGCACCACTGAGGGATAGACTAGTTAATCTAGGTAACTGCCTTGGTGACTGTGCCAAAGTAGCAACTATTACATAATCTGGCAAACAGCGCCCACACTGGTCAAGCTGTAGTACCTATTTCACAAATAAATAATTACAACTTAGATAATCTACAATACATTTTTAAAAAGTAGAAGCTGACAAGAAGCTAATCAAATCTTCAAAAAAAACAAACAGGGAATACAAAAACTAAAACCTAGCATTCATACAATTAAAATTGAGCAAAGCAAGAAAAACCTTTAATTTTTTTAAAAAAGGATACAAGTATTTCATGCAAGGCACATGAAGATTTTGAAGAGAGGGGGGATTTGTCACCAACAAAAATAAAATGCACACACAGTAAACTAACCTCTTCAAAGATCACAGAATAAATAAAATGCTGCAAAACCATATACCAGAAGCGTTTAATAATAACCATTAACAAAGTCAAAGGAAAACAAATATCTCAGTGTAGCTCTATTATAGCCTTTTTGTACCATAAAACCATCCTTAAAAAAGGTATCTTACATAAATAAATTCCAGCAAATAGACTACCCCAATAGAAATCTAACATTCAGATAACCTAATGACGACCTAGATGCAAAAGAAGAATTAATATTGAAACACAAGTTTCAAGTGCAGCAAAATGACAAAGAAATAACGAAAGCTATCACAAATAACTTGAAGCAAGTACCACCAAATTGGAAGTGTCACACATTTGAAAGGACTTTGTAAATTGTTCCTCTGTCAACCACGAGCAATCTCTAAGCCGAATCTCAGTGGGAGATCCACCAACAAGAAGTTCAAAAAAGTGATTGTTAATCTTTCTCGAGTCACACAGCAACTGGCTAAGCCTATGCCTCAGAGCATCCGGGACACTATCAAGCGAAACAACTGCATCAACATTCTTGACAAGAATTTCAAGGCATAGTTCTTGCAATGAAGGCACCGAAAACCTCACACCTACATGCCCAGGTTCCGTATTAGGAACCCACTTAATAGACGCAGCTAAGCTTGTTTGTGAAGAGACACATCCTGTTTGCACGCTCTTCATCTCTCTATCTTTAATAATCTTCATGGCTGTTGAAAAAGGACCAGGCCAATCCTCAATTTCATGTTCTTCTTCAGAAGATGAACTGTCATCGTTTTCCATTTCATTTTCATTTTCATTTTCTTCCGGTGCAAAATGAGCAAACCGAGATGCATTTTCCCTTGCTATGTCCCGGAACCGTTCCATATACTCATTCCTCCTCGAACCATGCTCACTTGTATTAGAGTTTCGCGAATCGCGAAACTCGTTAGTATTAGAGTTTCGCGATTGTTCTTGATCGCGAAACTCTACATTGTTTGTTGAATGAACATCAACCATAACTGCTTTCCCTTTCTCTTCTCTGCTGAGTAGTTTCCTTCCACTTTCACCAACACTTGACCCTCCTTCATCCACTTTACTAGTAACATTCATCACTGGTGAATCATCCTTACCTTCTTCTTTTTCTTCTTGTTTTTTCCTTTTTCTACCGTTTCTCGAATGGTTAACGGTCATTCCTCTTTTGAGAACCTTCTTTCCTGATCGTAGATTCAGAAAACCCTTTCCCCTTTCATTTCCCTCGCATTCCAAACCATTTAACTCCTTCTTATCCTTCGCGCTAGAAACCCTAACGGTGGAGTCATGTGTTGTTGTTGTTGTTGTGGGGCATTGTGCAGGCTCGGAGTTGGAAACGGAAGCGAGGCGGAGGCTCCGTCTCCGAAGCGGGACCGAAGCAGAGGGAGAAAGGGAAGAAGGAGGTTCGTGGGTTTGGGTTGGTGTGAGGGGGTGGATGTTGTTGTTGCTGTTGTCGGGGATTTTAAAGGGTTTGGGGGTGGTTTTGGTTGGCGGGACCATTTCGCGATGGAAATTGAAAATGGAAGTGACTGGGAATCAGTGACTCTGAGTGTGAGTGTAGCAAATGAGGGAAAACGAAGAGATTTGGAGGGAAAGGGAGATACAGAGACAGAGCATTTATTATGGCAAAGGAGGATGGGGGCAATGGTTGTTGGCACTGCACTAACCGCACACTATACACTTGAGAGAGAGAGAGAGAGAGAGCAAAAGGGCGCGTTAGGTTTTCTATGGAGACGACGGATGAGAAGCTTCCCTTGTACACTTCACCGTCGGTCTATTTTCCCGCCATAGAATTTATTTTATTAGTTTCTTTTAATTTTATTTTAGAAAACAATGTTTGTACGACATCGAATTGTATCATTTTAGTTAAAATTATTGTGTTTTAGAGTGATAAAAATAATTACACAATGAAAAATCATGATACGGGAGAGTGAGAAGTTATTGAGAGATTTATTTTTAATTTAAATAGTAAATAAAACATTACTATTTTACTTAAAATGATACAGTTATATATCATTTAAACGGACAAATTTTTTTTGCTTTGTTTAATTAATTAATTGAAGGGAACTTAATGGTTGCTTTTTGACCTTGTAACACAAATTTTGAAAATACTTATTCCTTTAATTCTTTTGGTAAATTATTTATCATTATAATGCGAAAATAAGTGTGCGCTAAGACATGCATATGTGAAAATTGCATCCTATGTGGTGACAGATAGAGATACGCACGTCACTGTACTGCGTCTAAAAGTAGTTGAGTTGGATAGAAAATTGCATTAATAGACACTTTTGTTCTAAAATGTTGATGAACAATTTACTCGAGTAACCCTTCAAGATTCTGTAACAAAAGTCTAAAATTTATGATTTTGATCTTCAATGGCTATAAATGGCTAGTATATCCATTAGACTCCTATATAAACATTTGTAAAGGGTTTCTAAACTCAAATTAACACTTGACAATATCATATTACACATAATCCATTATGATAATCATTTTAGAGGCATTTTGGCATACTTGGAGATAAAGCTCTATAATATTCTGTTGTTCTTCATTTCTGTTGATTTTTCATATTTAAAGGATTAAGAAAATGTTGTCCTTAATCTGTTTGTGATTGAATTGTCGCTGGAACGAGTCTTTTGGTAAAGTGGAAGATATTATAGGTGTATAGGTTAAGAGAGTGACCAAGATTGGTCAAGATTCTTGTAAAACTCCATTGTACTTCAATTTTTCAGACACCGGTTGAAAGTTATAAAAATAATGGATGATTGACAGTAGTTTGGACGTAGCCCTAGTATGGTTTGAGGGTGAACCAGGACAAATCTTGATGTTTGATATTTTATTCCTTATACTCTTTTATTTTCACATTTGGTTTTTTTTTTATTGAGTTTTAGACTATAATTCAATTCTATTGTAAGTCTATATAAGTCAATTCAATTCTATTGTTGAGTTCTCTTGAAGAAAATCAAAGACTATAATGACTTAGAGCTTAAGAAAGCACAATGGAATGTCAAGGCTAAGAATTTAATCACCAATGTACTTGGGAGTGATGAGTATTTCAGAATTGCATCATGCAAAATGACCAAGGAAATGTGGAAGGTATTGGAGATCACACATTAAGGAACAAATGAAGTCAAGAGGTCAAAGCAAAATGTTCTCACAAGGAAGCATGAGACTTCTGAAATGCAAGATGAGGGAAGTATCTATGATATTCAAAAGAGGTTCATGTATAATAATTATATTGAATGCTCTTGGAATCCACTGTGATGATGAGCAATTAATCAACAAAATTTTGAGATGTGTGACCAAGGAGTGGGATGTCAAAGTTTCAGCCATCTACGAATCCAAGGATTTGTCCACAACATTCATTGCTATCTTATTTGGAAAGCTACAAGAATATGATTTTGATATGAAGAGACAAGCTATGAGAGACCTTTCCAAAGAGAAGATGAAAAGAGTTGCACTCAAGACCACAACCTCCAATTATTAACAAAGTGATGAAATCGATAAAAAAGAGATTGATATGGATGAGTTGGCTCTCTTTATAAAGAAGTATGACAAGTTTTCAAGAGGAAAAACCTTCAAAAGACCAAGCTAACTATTGCCCAAGATAAAAACAAATCTAAAAATTCAATTTCTAACACTTTAATTACTTGTTTTGAATGTGGCAAGCAAAAACACTATAAGAGTGATTGTCCCAACCTTCAAGCTAAGCCAAAAAGTGACAGAAAGCAAAGGTAAAAACAAGAAAAAAGGAGAAGAGCATAAATGACATGAGATAAAGACTCTTCAAGTGGAAGCTCTTCATCAAGTGAAGAAGAAAATTTATGCTTGATGCAAATGAGGAAAGTGAAGAAAATGAGGTAGAGTTTATAGCCTGATCTTAAGATCCTTCATATGATGAGTTAAAATTGGCATTTAGTGAAATCTATAATGAAGCTATAGTATGTGCTAAAAACCTAAGGACCAATAGGAGGCATAATGAAAATTTGATTAAGCAAATTTCATCTCTTAGTAGGGAAATTGTAGACTTAAAAAATGAAAATGAGGCCTTGAAATGAATTGATGCTAGTGCTACATGTTTAGTATGCTTATCTAGGAATAATGGCGCATCTTCTTCTTATAGTTCTTGTACTACTTGCATAAAGTTAAAGGATGAAATTGAAAAATTGAAAAAAAAATGATTTAAGAAAATTGCATCTCTTAATAAGGAAATTGTAAATGAAAATAAGACCTTGAAACTAATTGATGCTAGTGCTTCATGTTTAATATACTTATCTAAGAATAAAGGTGCATCTTTTTCTTCTAGTTCTTAAACTACTTGCATAAAGTTAAAGGATGAAATTGAAAAAGGACTTAAAATTATTTACATGTGCTAGGAAAAATTTGAATTTGATGCTTGTTAGACAAAGACCTTCGCATAACATTTATTGCATAGGCTATGAGAAGCATATGCCTCATGATTATATAAAGAACACCCCACGAGTATTATGCTTATATGTATAAAAGTTTGTTTGTAGAATGCAATTATTATGCAAGAAAAGGATATAAAGCATATCAATGCAAGTTCAAGAGAAATGTAAAAGGTTACAAGCAAATTTGGGTTGTTAAAGGAACTTTACCCCCATATTTTTCTCATGTTAAAAGGCTACCCAAGGCTAATCAACAAGGACTCAAAAGGTATTAGGTACCAAAAGTTCAATGAAATGACTTGTTTGTAGGTACAAGTGTGCTTAAAAGCAGAAAGAACCAAATAGTACCTTAATAGTGGATGCTTAAAACATATGACAGGTGATGTAACTATATTCTCATCAATTATGATGAAACAATATAGACATGTTACTTATGGAGACAATAACCGAAGCAATATACTTTGTATTGGTAATTCTTCAACTACTTATATTGAGGATGTACTACTAGTAGAAGGTTTAAAACACAACTTACTTAGCATTAATCAATTATGTGATATGCAATTTAAGATTGCTTTTGATTCCATGTAGGGTTGGTAAAAATGAGCTAACCCGTCGGGTTGGCTCGTAACCTGCCAAAAATGAACCGGGTTGGGTTGGCATAAATGAGCTGCCAACCCGAGCCAACCCGGACAAAAACGAGCCAGCCCGCGGGTCAAACGGGCCAGCTCGCGAGTTGTTTTTTTTTTAATTAAAGATAATAATATCAAAAACTGCCCTACGCATCGTTCTCATTTTCTTTCATCGTTAGTCGTCATTTTCTTTCATCATTCTCTCTCTTCAACAATTTCTCTAATTCTCCCTCTCTTTTTTCTTCGCTCGTCTTCGTTGCCATTGCTCTTTTCATCTTGAATTTCAACGCCTTCTCCAACTCTTCCCCGTTATTCGTTCTCGCGATTACTGTGTACCTCTCTCTCTCTCCCTCCCTTATGTTTGTGTATTTAGGGTTTCGAATTTGATGGGTTCTTCTTGAATATTGATTTCTGTTACTCAACATAAGCAATTTCATTCCCCTGTTGGTTAAAGTTTCGATTTTTCAGAAACCCATATTGTGATTTTCGTGTCTGCTCCTCTCTAATACAGTAGTAATATACCCATAGTTTCAGATTGGTGTAATTTGTATTGTCTGAAGTCATTTGGAAATTTGAGGTGGATGCAACAGAAATGATGGAATTCTTACTACAATATATGAGAGGAGTCTAGTATGAGACCTTAACAGGGTCCAAACATGACTTGGTTGGATTTGATAAGTAAGGATATGGTTTCAGTAGTGAGGTGGGGGAATTCAACTGTACACTAATTGATGCAAAAGAAATTGTATGAAATAGTGTGATAAGTTTCAATTAGGCATTGAAGTTAGATGCTTTGGCTGGAGCAATAAGGATAAAATTATTTGGAGGTGTGCAATGTT